GCTTGCCCTCCAGCTGTCTCTGCTCTTGGCATGGGAGTGGGAACCTTTGACTTCACATTATTGTTATTGTTTTATTTACTTATGTCCTGCCTTTCTCTCAATACAGGGACCTGAGGCGGCGAACAGCAAATTTAGAACAATACAATTTTAAAAACTGCACAATAACTTTAAAATCTATAAATATAAAAATTTAAAAACAATTGAACATATTTTAAAAATTGAAACAATTATGAGTTAAAATGTAATGTGTGGGGAAAAAAATGCAAACCTTAAAATTTAAATTGCACAGCATTTAAATTCCAACCCTTGTCAGCTCAAAAAGGCCTGACAGCATAAGAATGTCTTTTTCTGCCACCAAAAGGAGAGCAAAGATGTTTACATGCAGGAGTATTTTGGTGTGGGAGGTGGCTAGGGGTGTGTCCACACTGCAGAAATAAAGCAGTTTGACACCATTTTAACTGCCATGAAAGAGGCTGCATGTGCATGGTCGAATGAATGCACTTTGGCACTGCTTTAACTGCCATGGCTCAATGCTATGGAATCCTGGGAGTTGTAGTTTTGTGAGATGTTTAGCCTTCCCTGTGTGAGAGCTCTGGTGCCCATAACAACAGACCCAGGGATTCACAGCATGGAGCCATGGCAGTTAAAGTGGTGTTAAGCTGCTTTATTTCTGCAGTGTGGCCATAGTGTAGGAGCCTGGAGAGTGGTGATGGCCTTGGGCATCTGGGAGTTTGGAGAAAGTAGCAGGAGCCCAGAAGGACTGGAATAAGAAGCTTCATTTGCCCTGGTGGTGGGTGGGAGAAGAGTCCAGGATGGGAAGATGGATGTGCCTCTGTAGATATTCATAAAATGAAGGTGCAGAAGAGAGGCTGAGATTTTGTGTTGTGGTGGGTGTTTGAAGGGCACAATTTGGGTCTTGCTGGCTGAGACTTGGGGTGGCAGGTGAGGAATTCAGATTGTGAGAAGCTATTGCTACGGGGTGCCCAGTGGTTCAGGTGCCTCCGTGACTGAACATTGTGAGTCCTGGTTTTGGGATGGGGTTGGTTTTGGGAGGAATTCAAGTGGCCAGGGAGAGCAAATTCCCAAGAATGATAATGGGAGTTGGGAATCTCAGTGTTAATCTTTTAGGTGACGTGTACAGGAACTGCTAGAATTTTTTGGAGGATTGTGGGTTTGGGGACTTGAGACCCACAGGGTAAAAAGTTGGGAATAAATTGAGGAATTATATTCACAGCATAATGCTGGTTGTGGGTAGGGGTGGTAAGCATTAGTTGGGATAAAGCTGTGCGATGGTAGGGTGGCTCTGCCCCAGAAGGGTGGTTTGCATCATACCTTTGATCTTCTTCTGCCCCATAACTGGTGAACCCTGAGATGCCTTGCCAAGGGGTTGGGGGGGTAAGTTCCTGTGGCAGAGCTGTGGGAGGATGAATCTGTTGTGAGGGGGTGGGTTATCAGAGCAGCCCATGATAATATTAAGAGACTGTGAGATCAAAGAGTTATCGCTTTGGGCTGCTCTAGATTTCTCTCATTTCATTTTTCGTAGGAGGGTTGCTTTGATGCTTTCTAGCAAACTCTATGAGATGCTCCTCTGCTTCTCAAGCTGCTGTGTTAATTTCTAATATATGCTCTTCTTCTCCATAGCCTCCTGAGTCTTGCCTGCTGCTGAAAGTAGCACACAGCCACCAAGGGTGTGATGGTGTTTTGCTTGTTGACTAACATGGGTGCATGTTTCCATGTGTTGAAATGCACCACCGCAATCCCATTTGCAAGGCTACCTATGCAGGATTTTGCAATGTGTGTGTGTGTGTTTGTGTAATGGGCAGTCTTTTGAGATGAGAAAGAGGTCAGAAGTCCTGCAAGTTCATTCCAATTTAAATATAAAGTAGGCTGTTGGTAATCCCTTGATTCTGTCATTGCAATTTACTGAGTGGCCTGGAGCAACAGGATTGGAAAAATCCTAGAATGGAGTTGGGGGGGCTGTGTTCCTCCAGATGTTTTGGAGTGTAGTTTCCATACCCCCTTTCCACTGCCTGTGCTGGTTCAGAGTTCTGCAAGTTGAGGTTCAAAACCAGGTGTTACCCTACTAGAAACTTAGCTGCCCAGTTTCTCTTGGTTTCTGTTCAGGAATGACCATTTCACTCTTGCACACCAGAGCTCTGCTTGAAATACAGTTAGTGCTCCCACTGTAAGGTTGTGTAGTTAATTTGTGCATGTGTTAATGTTTGTATTCTGCTTGCCTTCCAAGAAAGTGGCAAAGCAATTTATTGACAAAATTGTGAATTAAGTTGGAGAGCCAATGTGGTGTAATGGTTTGAGCTTTGAACTGCAACTCTGAAGGTCAGGGTTTGAATTCCTGCTTGGCCATGGAAACTCACTGAGTGACCATGGGAAGGTCACACACTCTCAGCCTCAGAAGGAGGCAAAGGTGCCTTCTGGACAAATCTTGCCAAGAAAACCTTGTGATAGGGTCATCATGGAGGCACACAAAAACAACAAGCTAGGGGGAAAGATAGCAACTTGGTCAATGCCTCTCAGTGAACTTTGGAGTTGAATGTCGATTTGAATTCCTCTGCAGTTTTCAAAGTCTAGCCACATCATCTGTCTCTAGTGTCCTTCTTTGTCCTTTGGTTCCCTTCCCTGAAACCTACATTTGATAACCAACCAAAAAGTCTCCCTCATCCTTTTAGGATCAGAGTGCCCAGTAGACATTTCCTTCAGCTCTCTTAAAACAATAAGCGAGAGATGGTACCACTGCCGTCATATCCTTAGCATATCCAGTATAGATTAGATTATCCAAAATGAATCATAATGTCTTTAACCTCTGGAGGAAAGTGTTTTTCCTGGACAGTGTGGTGAATAAGGAAGCATGGAACCTGTTAAATATCACACTTTAAAATGGCATCATCATCATCATCATTATTATTATTATTATTATTATTATTATTATTATTGTTATTGTTATTGTTATTGTTATTATTATTATTATTATTATTAACTTGCAGAAAACCAGAATGCATGCAGATATAATTTTCACATGTAGATACAATTTCCAGGATATCAGGATTGCTATGACTTCCTGGCAAAGGTCTACTCTGGCAAACTTCTTTTTGTTCCTGTTTGACATGGACCTAGATTGCCTGGTCTTGTCTAAAGGACCTAAGGCATATCATGGGGTTTTCTTGGCAAATTTCTTCAGAGGGAGTTTGCCATTGCCATCCTGTGAGGCTGAGAGATTGTGACTTGCCCAGGGTCACCTAGTGGGTTTCCACGGCCAAGCAGGGATTCGAACCCTGGTCTCCATAGTCATGGCCAAACGCTCACACTACTACAACATGCTGGCTCTCACTTATTTAATTTTAATTGTTTGCATGTTTTTTAAATAATGTCTCTAAGCAGTTCATATAAAAAAAGGTAGTTTATAAAGAAAGGATAAAATAATGCAAAGGTAGTTTAAAAACAATTGAAAGCACACCAAGAGCTAAGATACAGGTGAAGCAAGGGAGATAATCATTATGGCCTGTGTGAGAAAAGGCTCTTTTCAAGAGTTTGACAAGCTCATCTCCAGGCCCTTCCCAAACAAGTCAGCCAGCAGAGTTTTCTTGTCTTTTGGGACAGTACAAAGTGCATAGCTGTTGCTGTTGTCTTGAGCTTGTTTATGAGGGTGGTTGGTGGGCCACTGACTTGTCTGTAACTTTTGATATGCAGATAGATTCCTGGGTAGGACTTAGTTCAAAGGCTGTGTTCTTGTTTTCTTTGCCAGCATCAACTGTGTAGAGAAAGCTTCTGCTAGCTAGACTAATGGTGCTTTGCCTTTTTAACTGCTTCCCCTCTTTCCATGCTTTGCTTCCTGTCCATGACAGATATCAACCTTAACTCTCCCAACAAAGGTCTGCTGGCCGATACCATGACAGATGTTCCTGTGGACAACACAAGCGCTGCTGCTGCTGCTGCTACTGCTCCTCCATCAAGGGCCTCTGCCTACAATGGGCTCACCGAGGCAGAGGAAGAGGAGCTAAGGTCTGAGTTGGCTAAGGTAAGAAAGTGTTCCCTTTCTAAAGGTATCTTTTTGAGCTCTACTTGGTTAATATGATATGCAGAGATGAGATAAAGTCTAAGGTCAGAAGGGCACTATGATCATAGTCTGGAATTTTTTTAAGTCTCTGGTGTAACTTTCTAGTTCCTCTTTTGTTGCTAGAACTTGTTTTGATCTTGGTGGTATTAAATTTGAAGGAGTTAACAGGGAACAGCAGGTTATACTGGGAAATCAACCCCCCCCCAGTACATTTTTAAAATCCTCTCTTTCCACAGAGGATTCAGTGTCAAATATGGCCTCTCCCATCCACCCCTCCTCCTTAAAGCAATCCTAACAGGAAAAGTGGGGAGAGAAATCATGCAGCTTTCAAAATGTTGGACTGTAAGACCCAGCTGCCCTAGCTAGCATAGCTAATGGTGAGGAATACTGGAAGTTGCACTCTGACAACATTTGCAGGGCTGCATGATTTCCTCTTTATGTTAATGCTGGGTTACCCAATGACCTTGGTGATTGAGCACATATGTGGACTGGAGCTTCTGCATTGTAACTCAATGTTTTCATCAATATGCTACCATAGTCTTTCACAACTATACCACCATCTAACCCACAGCTGGCTTGTGTTCCTTTAATTTATGTTATGATGAAGCATGTGTAGGACTGCTTTTATCCTGGCATTCCTAAGTAATGAATGCTGCCAATCACAAGTTTTGCTTCTCAGTACAAAACCTCTAGGCCGCAATCCTGTACAGTCTACTGTAGCATATTAGTTCTGCATATGGAACTATGCCTCAGCTGAGCATTCACCAACCTCAGACCTATTGTAAAGTTTCTGCAGCTCCCCCAACAATTTCTTGCCTGGTGAGATTGGTGAGGGATCAGAGAAGCATCTGGCTATGTCCCTGTAGCCATGCATGAAATGAGTGCATCCTCTGCTGAGGGCCTCGAGAGGTCTCACCATAGGACAGGGGTAGGCAACCTTTCCCCTTTAAGGGCCAAAGGACTTCAGCTCCCAGAATCCCAGGAGTTATTGGCCAACATGGGACTATTGCCCAACATGGCTGAGGCTTCTGGGAGCTGACGTCCCTCGGCCCTTAAAGGGGAAAGGTTGCCTACCCCTGCCATAGGACATAATCATTTCATGTCTGGCTACATAGCTGTAGCCAAATCTGGTTATGTGGATGTAGCCAGATGCATCTCCAATCCCCCACTGCTTTCATCAGGCATCAGTCTTCAGGGAGGAAGGGAATATGAGCCTTGCACTGACCAAAAAGAGACTTATGCAGGAGTACAGTTGACTTACCATATATACTTGACTATAAATCAATTTCATAAATTGAGGGCAAGTTCTGGGACCAAAATTATGGATTTTGCTGTGGTCCATGGATAAGTTGAGGGTAAAACTTAGGGGCATATAGCAAAGGATCAATGAAGCAAAACAAAGCAATGTCAAAGAACTTATAAAATTCCAGCAGACATAACTATGCTTAATCTTAAGACTGGATGAATGAGAGAGTACATGGGATCATTGCTTCCAGGACAGATTATACTCTTGCTGTTCACCAGGGTATGGTTCCTTCTTTTAAATAAGAGTTAAGATACAGTACTTACTTTGACCTGTGGATAAGTAGACTCAGGTTTTTTGGGTCAATTTTTTGACCTAAATTTCTAGACTTATATGTGAGTTTATACAGTATGCAATTAACAGGGTGCTAGTCTTTGAATGTGTGAAAGAGCTGTCTTAATTATGGTCCTGATCCACCAGATGGAGAATGAAACTTAAGACTTCTTGAATGTATGTGGGGATTGAACTAAATATTTTTGCTCTTATTACTTTGTGTATGAAATTAACAGTACTAAGTTGTCTTTTCTCTTGGAGGCCAAGATGCTACTGATTACATTCCATGTTTGACCAGTGTTTCCATGGTCCTGCAGCACAGGGGCCTTTAACTCCAATTCCTATTTTGCAGGTGGAAGAGGAAATTGGAACCTTGCGCCAAGTCTTGGCTGCCAAAGAGAGACATTGTGGAGAGCTGAAGAGAAAACTGGGTTTAACCCCCTTGGATGGGCTGAAGCAAAACCTCTCCAAAAGCTGGCATGATGTCCAAGTTTCCAATGCGTAGGTTTCTTTTTCTCCTTGTGTGTAACCAAACAGAAGTGTGTTTGTGTTAGATAAGGGGGAAGCCACCATCTACCTATCACACAGCTGTCTATGAAATGTTATCATTATGTAATTCTGAAGGAATTCACTTACTTTATTGTGAGGATGGCTTGTAGACTTATGCATGAGGCTTCTATTTTACTGATCATAGAAGGAGCCCACTTGGGGCAATAGGACACTTTGCTGACCAGGGACAGTTTGTGTCCTGTATGAAGATACTTTCTTGGATCACACTGTGTGACATTACAGGTATACCTTAGCTAATGAAGCAGATGTGCTCCTGGGCATAACTTCTTTAACAGAAGATTTGGTACCAGAGGCAGAAATAATTTGGAAAGAACCGGGATAGGTCCCTATACCACCAAAAAGGAGATTCATTCAACATGATTCAACAGAATCTTTGTTCAGAATGAACAATATGCACATGTAAAATGTATTAGCCAGGTCAGGTAAGCCTTGTGTAAGTAAACAAAATACCTGAACCACTTGAAGGCAGTCATAACACAACTACAGTAGTGTATAATCTTTCTCATTGTCATCTGAAACTTTGTTTATCACTGCAGATAGAAGATGAAGTGGTGGTGGTGGGGTGGCCAGGCATAAAAAGACTGTAAAAAGGAGCTTTCCTGTCAGAAGCTATTTTACACGAAGTATGCCTGTAATTTGGTGCCTCTTCCCTTAGACTGATATTTTGTTTATTATTTATTTATTACATTTGTGTGCCGCATTTCTCCCAGAAGGGACCCAAGTGCCCAACTGCTCCTGTGTACAGATGAAAGTGTGATTGTGACCCCCAGATTTTTATTTCTAGTTATGTGAAAACCTCTGAAAAACTTGGAGAGTGGAATGAGAAAGTGACACAATCGGACCTGTGAGTGCGTTTCCCATTTCCCAAGCACTGCCTCACTCTCCTTTTCTCTGTATTCCACCTTGTTGCACACTTTCGTTTTGATCACAGAGGAAGCTGGCTGTGTGCTTGGGATGCAGAGGAGCCACACTGAGTCCTCTTGCTTGTTAATGTTAAACCTTATTCTTTGCTTGTCAACTCTCCTTGGCCATCTCCAGAATTAAACACCTTGCTGGCTTCTTTGATACTCTCTTCTGCAGAGAAAGGAAAATTCCAATCAGTTACCAGACCCCATTGGAGGATGATAAGAGTACAACTAGGAAGTG